CCAGACGGGCGCTGGCCGCCGCCATGCGACGGAAGCGGACGGACAGAGGGAAGATCATGTAGGTCCTGACCACCGGCAGAAGGTTGTTCGAAACCGGTGTGTCAAACGGGGAGACCGTGGCGGATCTAGCGTGCGCCATGCTGTCGGAGCGGTTCCCTTACTTCCAGTGGGAATCGCTCAAGACGCTCGAGGAGGGCGACAGGTGCGTCGTGTGCATGACGGCTTACGTAGAAACGATGAATTTGCCCTGCAGGCACTTTGTATCGTGTCGATCCTGCAACAGTCGACTGCGGAAGTGCCCGACGTGCAGACGGCCTATCGAAATGAGATTGGCGGAGTGGCAGATTCCGGACGACACGAGGGTGTTTAGATAAATTATAGGCGATTATAGTTATAAATATTTATCGTTTTTTAATTTTAAGAAATAAATTTTATTACAAAAAAAAATGAAATTTGACTGAGATTGTATATTTTTGTTGTTTTCGTTCGCTAGTTCATTGAGGGCGGCAGACGGATTTTTTCGAAAGTCTGGTTAGGGTCGGATTGAAAAACATGAGAAAAAAAATATAACCGTTTTCTCACGTTCGCAAAAACGTGTCTGCCGCCATCTATTTTATTTACGTTTGTCGTCAAAGTATTGCACATATAAGCAGAAGCGAAGAAGTGCACCTGCGATTGGGAGTTCACTTGCGCTTGGGGAGTATGGCAGATTTCGAAAACGGACTATGCGGCTGCTTCGGAAACTTCGGCTTGTGCGTGTTCACATACTTGTCTCTTATACACATCTAGATGTGTATAAGAGACAGGTTATAAAGTGTGGAAAATCTCGCATTCTGAAGGCATGGTACCGCTGGTGAACATTTTCGCTCGTATGATCACTCGGCAGAACGTCAGGGAAAACAAAGGGATCGAAGGGAGTGGACTAGGCGATCTCTTTGCCGTGTGTTGCTGCGGTTTCTGCTCTCTGGTACAGGAAGCAAGGGAGATGCAGATTCAGACACCGCTCGGAGCCGGAGAATCGATGGGGCGTGCATAGGTGTTTGCAAATAAATACAAATCATCTAAAAAAATATATACTTGTAAAACTTTCTTTTATTACATACGTTAAAAATAAACATTTTCCACGTACCACAATTTTCCAACTTGTATACGAAACTTTTTTTTTTATTCTCGACATTAACATAACGTCGAGACGAGTGCAGAGTATCGCAGACAGGATGACCGCCAAAGCATTCGAGGGGAACGTGCATCGGCGTCGCATGGTCTTCGAGATCAACGAACGCTGCTTCGACGTCGTGGACGACGTCGCGAGGGACGTGTGTCCTTCCAAGAAAGCGGACGACTACGACGTGAAGATAGAAGTGCATCCCGGCTGCCAACTTTCGAGGGCCCAGTTCCTCGTCGAGGCGAACGCCTCTCGCAGTCTTTGGAGATTCGACAAAGTCGCCGTAAAGCTGAACGTGAACACGTCCGAGCCGTTGGTTGGCGGTTGGCGGTTGATGGTGCTGGACGAGAAAACTCGTGCCCTGACTCCCGCCTTCTGCAGGAAAGTGCCTGTCACTTGGGCGGGCGTGGCCGACGTCACGCGTCGAAAGGTCACCGCGGAGGAGACTGTCGACAAAGGCGTGAGGACGGCGTGGAAGGACGACTATCACGGAGCGTTGACCAACGACGCGAGGTGCGACGAGGCTCGTCCGGACCTAATGGGCAAGACGAAGAGTTCGAACGTTCGGACGGCGTTCGGTTCACCCCTGGTGAAGCATCTCGTCGAACGAGATTTTCGAGTGTCCCTCGACGACTTTCGAAACGTCGATCGAGAAAAATCGGCGTTGCTACTGTCGAGGAGGAGAGAGAATTTCGAGGACCGCCGCAGGTACGTGGAGGGAAAGGGTCACGTGAACGACGACGGCGTCGAAGCCGCTCGCTTCGAGAATTCCGTCGGCGAGGCGCTGAAAACGTGCGGTCGTTCGTTGATGCTCGTCTGCGACAGGAAGCATTTCGACAGGGACGACTTCAAGAGCACCAAGACGGACTACGTCGTTCCGTTTCCGGTC